AGCATGGCTGGCTGGGGAATTCTGGGAGTTGAAGTCCACACATCTTAAAGTTGCCAAGTTTGAAAAACACTGCTCTAATTTCTAACACTACAGAAATAATACAGATGTTGAGTACAACCAGGTGGTTTTTCAAGGTCCTGTTGAAGTCTACGCATCTTAAAGTTGCCAAGTTTGAAAAACACTGCTCTAATTTCTAACACTACAGAAATAATACAGATGTTGAGTACAACCAGGTGGTTTTTCAAGGTCCTGTTGAAGTCTACGCATCTTAAAGTTGCCAAGTTTGAAAAACACTGCTCTAATTTCTAACACTACAGAAATAATACAGATGTTGAGTACAACCAGGTGGTTTTTCAAGGTCCTGCTTCTAACACAATAAAAGCATTATGGATTAGAATCATAATGGAAGAGCAGTTATGTCTTCCAGGAATGTAAGAACTGAATGAAGCTGTTCAATTGTAAACAACACATTAGGAGATACTCATGAGTAACCTTTTATTAGTGTAAATGCTTACTGCTGTTTTAGATGATTATCAATGCAAATGTCATTATGACTGGTAATCAAAACAATTCATCACTTTCGTTTGTGAGTATTGCTGTGTTTTTTTTTTTTCATTTTTCTCTTTTCTATGCTGACATTCTCTATCAAATGTCAATCTTGTAAACTGTAACACCTTTAAACCTGGAAAAATGAAACAAAATAATAATAACCCTGTGCAGATTCTATATGACTATTAGTAATACCAATCTTACAAGGTTGAGAAGTTTAAGAAATGTTCAGATCTGCAGACATGATCCTCAGTATGTCAAATGTAACAGGAAGAACGTTTTAAGAAACCTGAAAAGCCAGAATAAATTCATGTTTTAAAAATTTACAGAAAATTAAAGGGCTGTCAACTTCCTAAGAATTTAAGAAAACACAATGGCAATCATCACGAACAATTAAGAATTAGTTTAAGAACAAAACAACAAATAATGTTGCATGGATAATACATTTTCCAGCCATACGAATTGCAGAATGAAAACCAGAGGTTACCACCTAGACTTCATCTGGTCCATCTTCCAAGTCAACATAGCGTTAATCTTGTAGGAAACATCTACAGTGCATCCTTGATGGGAATGGTCCTTTAGCACAATTTGGAATGACAAGACATATTTTTGTTACTGCTTGTGTTTCACATGTATGAAGTGTATGATTCCTAAGTTCCTTCTATTTTAAAAAAATCCATTTAAATTTCTGAAGTACTAATATATAAATATGGAGTCTTACTCTATTGTATATAGCATTGCAAGTCAATTCATTGTCAAACTTTAAACCCTACTTCAAAATACTATTCAATCTCATATTCTCTCTCTCTCTCTCTCTCTCTCAATAAAGAACAAATAAAACTGTACATTAAAAGACAGGAAACTTAGAAGTCAGCTAAAAAAGTAGGCTTCCCCCTTGTTAGTAATTTTGTAAATGTAAACAAAGAGAGGTTCAAGTATAAAAGTGAGTTACTTGTGACTTGGCAAAATATTTTGGCACCTGATGACATGGGTTCAAAGTTTTTCAAGAAATTCTGGCTCATTGTTAAGCCAGTCTAAGAAAGTTTAGATCTTTGCTACCATATATCGCTGGTGAAACTGAGCTCCCTTGTTGACAAGGGGAGTAAAGGAGTGTTCCTATGAAATTCTTGAACATCTTTCATGCTGCTGTTAAGAGGTAACTGTCCATTGAGAAGCGTCAGGGGTATGTTACAGTAAGTGTGGTGATTACTGCTTATGGCAGCTAGCGGCAATGTCGCAGACTGCATGTTGTATTCATATCCTCTGCAGTAATGTCTCATCTGGGCCGTATTGGCTGGCTGATAATCTCCCAAATCTGCCTGAGATGAAACTAAAGTGGCAGAGGTATCTGTCACGGCGATGGAAGGCACTGTTTGGAGATCACCAAAAAGACCCTGTTCAGCAGAATCCAGAACTTGGCGTCGCGTTACAACTTCTTTTTTCTTTACCGGCATCTCATAGAGCAAATGTTTCCAAAACTTAGAATTCAGCTTGCTACTTTTTGATCCATTCCACTTGATGACTGAGAACAGTTTAATGCTGTGCTTTAAAGATTCCACTTCTTGGTAATTGACTTTACCTTTTAATTCGGGGCATTCGATGAAAATCACTTTGATTTCTCCACTGATGAGCATGTTATGGAGTCTGTTTTCCATCTCAAAAATACTCCACCCTCGTCTGATTACATAATCCGGTGTGAGGACAATAAGGAGCCTGCGGCTTTGTTCTATACATCTTGCAAGATCTTCTAGATATGCTGCAAATCATAAGATAGACAGTAAAACAGAGAAGTACATGCAGAAAAAAATAAAACTTTGCAATCAAAATGGGGGCAGGGAGGGGAATGGGTTAATCCTTTTTGACCAGTTTCACCAACAGTATTTAAAAACAATTTGGGGTATTTCTCCACATCCTGGTCAAGATGACTCTAGCTCCCTTGTTTTTACTATGCTTGATAACTCCTTCAACTGAGCTCTCACAGCTAATTCTAATTTCAGGAGCCATCAAGCCTATAAGTGGAGAACTCTGGATCAATTTCTTCTTGATATGAGTTGCTAAGAGTTGGAATCCATAAGTGATGCCATCTGCCTAGGCAGCAGATTGGTCTTCCTTGACCTGGTAGGACTCTAAATATTTCCACCTCAGGTCTGGACACCTCTACTGTCCCTTGGTTATATTCCCCCTTCCTAATGGATTCCCTCCAAAAATTCATACATTCTCCCCCTCTATAGAAGACCTTGACTTAACTTCACATGCCATTCTCAGTCATATTGTGGATTTTGGCTCAGTGTGTTGTGTGAACCGTGTTATCATCTGATGGAAGCTGCTGAAAATTGCAGTCCAATGTATCTTGAGGTCCACCAACTTGGGGAAGGCCTAGTTTAGGGATCTACATATTGCCAAATTACTATCTCTCCCCACATATATGGCAGATGCATCCTGGTTTCTAGTATTTTTTTTTTTATTGCAGAGTTTTGATTTGATTGTCTTTTCATCCCAAGAATACACATCACCTTAGTCATACATCAACATGATTTTGAGGCACAGATTTTGCTCAACAACTGAGTGCTTTGGAATGCCAGGTCGGACAACCTAGCCAAAGTCCTACTCTACTTACTTCTTTCAACTCTCCTTCCATTGGAAGATAGGGGCACCAGTTGGAAGAAGAGCCTGCAGAAGAAAGAGCACATTGTAGGGGTTGTTCCAGATGGAACTCATCCCATGTACATCTTGGTTGTGTGGGTTGGCCAAAAAAAAAAAAAAAGTTCATGGACCAGAACTAGCAACTTTGATAAACAGACATACACATAGACACACACATACACACAGAGAAGACACACAGTACTGTTTTGCAGATTACAGATGTAGAAGACTCCTAACTGGTGTACAGACATCTTGTTCCCTAGGGTCAAATGTATATAAAATATAAGTGATTGGAAGAAGGATAGGAAAGGAAAACAGTGAAGTTCTCATCAAGGTCAGAGCCATTCCATTGAATCTGGAGCAAATCTGGGCTTGCTATGCAAGCAGTCTTAACATTTGGCACTGGCATGCATGAATTAATCCTTCTGTCTCTTTTGCATTCCAGTTCGAATAAAATGGGCAGAAACATTACTGCATGCAAAATGCTGAGCTGATCTTCTCTTTCTGTTGATAAGCATTGCCTTGCATTCCTCTCAAGAGAACCAACATGGCCTGGAAGTTTGCTGCCCTTATGGCGTCCTCTGTGACACGAGATCAAATGCAGACATTGTATGGATGTGTTGTTACTGATCCCCATACCTGTTTCCCAACAGAGCAGACAAACAGCATAAGCTGAATAAGGAGGTGGGAAACTGGAATAGATCACAAAGGTGGGATGTTGGGACCTTGTACCAATGTGTGGTTTGGCTTTGTGTATGGATAACCCCTAGTACTGGTAAGTCTCAGAGAAACTTTACACATGTCTCCCCGTGGATTCAGAGAGAAATTTCCAAATGACTGCATATAGGATTGCAGACTTGAATTCCAGCTATTGAAAATTTCATTAGACAGCTGGCTACAGCCCCAGCTATCCAGTTCTATTTTCCATGCCCTAGGCCCATAAATATTAAGAAAACTGACTTTTCTATGCCCATACAAGCTTACGCAACTTGTTGGCCAAAACATTAAAGAATGGAAAGGGTAGTGGCATTCTGAACTATAAGTGATGCTTAAAGTGTTCAACCATGTGACAAGATTGGTGGTTAATTTCAATGGATTTGGCTTCTCCCTCAAAGTGAACACAGAAGTCCATTTGTACTGGCATTCTGTGACAAATACATGAATCTTAACAATGAGCAAATGGTAGTTTCATTCATAAAAAATCATAGTATAGTGATATTCGAGACAATTGCATCTACTTGGCAAGTGCAAGTGAGCCCAAATGGAAGCTCTCTTGTGCTGGGAACAATCTTGGGTGGATTAGAAAGGATGATACCTCCAATGTTTCTGAATAAAGCATTGAGCATAAAAAATGGAGGCAGAAATATGTCACAGATGAAGATATGAACATGGAACTACAGATTTGTGCTAGGAGTAACTCCTTGTAAGAACAGTGAATGTGATTTTGAATCTCAAGGACCAGCCTACACAACTTCACAGTTGGCATTTTACAATCACTTGCAGTATAAACATCTAATGTGCTTGCTTGCAAAGACCTTCTAAATTTCTGAAGATCTTAGGCCTTTTTTAGTATTTTATCAGCCTTTAGTAGTAAAAAAAAGAAATGTTCAGGAAAATTAGAAGAACATATTTTTTCACTCCTTCATAGTTCACTGCTACAAGATCTGGAAATGTCCACAGGCTTATGTTTGTTTGTTTTTAAAGAAAGGATTACACCAAGCTTCCTCAGTCTTAGCAGTTGAGATGCCACTGAACTACAACTGCTGATATCATTACTAATCAGCATAGACAACTGGGAACTGTAATCTCATCATCTATAGTATAGTTCGAGGATGTAAGGTTGGGAAAGGCTGTATTAGGCAAATCCATGTTGCTCCATCATGGCTTATATTCTCTGACAGTTAAAAGCCACCTCCCTATGACAAGATGGTAAATCACTGATGTCTGGAATCAATAAATTGGAGACGCTGCCCTATTTCCTTCTTGCCCTTTACCAACTTCCCAGATCATCTGGTTGGCCATCACTGGGAACAGGATGCTGGACATAAGGGAAATGTGGTCTCATCTAGCAAGCCTTTTCTTACAATTAGTTCTCTTCTGCTTTTTTTATCATGACAAAAATGGATTCTGCAACATCACTCAGACCACTAGAAAGCGAGTCCTCTACAGATGTGCTTCTTAAGATTATGCTTGCTGCATCCTCAGACTGCAGTCTCTACTATCCATCTATGAAACTAGAAATACATTGCCAGGTATGGCATCAACCTGAGCATTCATGCTTTTTCCCAACAGTACAACCCTTTGGAATTTCCTAATGACCAGAAGCTGTCAGACCAAATCTTTCCTCTCTGAGCAAAGAAATCAAGAGACAGTTGTCAACTAAAGGCCACTGCCTTTTATAAGTGGTGTTCTCTGCATAAGCTAGCTGGCAGATAGCATCATTCTCTTTTACTTCTTTGTGTAATTTTGTGGTATCATTTTTTAAAGAGAGTGTAACAACTCTCTGAATCAATTTGGTGCCCTCTAGATGTTTTTGATGGTAACTCCCATCAGCTTCAACTAGCACATTCAATGGCAGGGTGTTGTAGGAGTTGTCATCCAAAACACTGAAATTGTACCAGATAGGCTATCTTGCCTTTGAGGTCTGCTGAATGTTAGCGTGGGCACCATAGACTTGTAAAATGGGAAAGGGCCATTTAGGTCACTGAGATCAATCCCCTGGTCAGCACAGGAATTCAAATTCAAACGTCCCTGATAAATGCATGTCCAACTTGTGCTAAGAGAATCTAGTTGTATGCCATTCTGGAGGCAGTATCATCAATAGATGAAAACAGCTTACATTTCCCTACCTCTCTAAATGAGGACACAGCCAACATTCTTACCATGCAACCAAAATCTACTCCAGCAAATTTTACACCATCCGTAAATCTTGTGGATGAATGCCAGGAGCAGCTATTACACAACTGGACGGTTTTGCTTCCATGTAAGATGGAGTGTGTCTCTGGGCAATAAAGTACCCAAGCAGATACTCAAGTGGTTTGTCTTGTCTAGCTGGCCATTGCATCTCCTTGATAGGAAGAGCTAGTCTAAGTTTCTTATCTGGGCCAAGAAATTGTTGGCTGGGTTTGTACTGTACATAATGTCATAATGGGGTTTAGCAGAATGGGTGAATTAGACACTGTCATTTGTAAGTATGTCTTGTGGCTAGGTGCAATGTGCAAATTCAACATGCAGTTATGAATAAACCATAAATTAGCCTCATATGGGCACCCAACCACAGTCTTCCCTGGTTCTTCCTTTGTTGTTCTGACATACAGTGTGTTGACTGGTTCTGAAACCTCCAAGAAACCTGCCATCCAGGATATCTCAAGAAATAAAAAATTCTATAGTCTACCCTTTAATCTTTGAATTTTTTGCCTTAAGTCTGTGAGCCAAAAACAGCCCTGGGGCCATTAACATCAAGAATAATCCAGCTGGGTCAGACTATACTTCCTGAAGCATAACAAAAAGGTGATAGCTCAGTCCCATGATTTGTCCTCATTCTCTGGCTTGAAGAGATGAATTTCCTCTGAGAATAAGGACTTCTTTAATTGCTTCGGGTTAAAGCCTATCAAGGATGCCTTTAAGGTGAACAACTGAGTGAGCATTTCAGAAGCATTCCAAGATTGGTTTCTGTACCAGATCCATGGGGTTCTGCAGACTGCAATCCCCAAGATGGCTTTGAATGGAACCAGTCTGAGTTCCAATTCATATTCTGCACCATCATCATTAGTGGGTGATTAAGCATTCCTTAATCTTCTGCATGAAAGAATCAAATCTGTTCAAAATATATGAATCATTTCAGTTTGCAAGGACGGAAAGGAAGGGGATGGCATATCCTATGCTGTGATAAAAAAAAAAGCCAATGTGCCAGGTAGCATTGCATATTATTTTTGATGATGCTTAATGACTCTCTGAAATTATGATGATGAAGATTTGCTGGAGCGTCTGAGTGACAGATGGACAGAAAAGAAAATGCAATCCTGACTTTTGAGGCACCTGTGAGGAAGCTGATTCATCTAAAGCATTTGTTCTCTTCTCTTTCCCTGTATTGACTTAAAAGTCTTTGATTCTGCTCTCTTCTTTTAAAACCAAGCTTGGAGCAATACCAGCTGTGCATAAAATTAAAAAAACCCCACACAGCTCCTAACAGCTGTATATGCTGTACAGTTATACCTGATTATTTGCTTTAATTTTGATTTGTTGATGACTACGTGGAACTACAGAGCTACTCTGAGTGAAAATATTAACAGATGAATCTTGCCCTGCATGTCTGCAATCAAACAATGTGTTTCATACATTGGGCTAGCCATAATATGGTTTGTTGGGTTTGGCATAGTATTTTTACCTACTAGGTTTTGTAAATCTGGTCTATGGGTTGGTTCAATGTGTGAATCCAGCCAATTAATAAATCATCTTTAAGCAAACCATAAACCTAGTTATGCTATTGTTAAAGTCATGTGCTTGCATCATCAAGATGCTAGGAGGAAACTTCACTGAAGTCAAGGTCATTTGAACCCCCCCCCTTTTTTTTTGCAATGGAAAAACCAAAAGGCCATGCTTTGCAACAGAGATATTCTACTACCCATATTCTCAACATTTCCTTATATAACTTTGTTGGAGCATCTGAATATCTGCAGGCAGGATGACCATTCCTAGGAGAGATGAACCAATAATATGATTTTTGCAGAAGTAAAAAAAAGAAAAACAACAACAAACAAAAGTAGTATCCTGTGTGTACTTTTCAAGACTTAGAGAAAGTGACTTTCATGTGTCAGCTTACTGGAAGCCTTGAGAAGGAGAATTCTGCCCATTCCTGCAACATGGTTACGGAATGAATACTAAAAAATATGTAAATGAAAAAATAACAAACAGCAGCTCTTATTTACTAAGTTATTTGATTTATATCCCACCTTTATTTTGGACTACTCAAGGCCTCCTATTTTGCCCAGAACAACAACCCCATGATGTTGGTTGGGCTGAGAGACAGCGACTGGCTCAATGGCCAAAGGAGACATAAATTATGATTGACATCCTGTGGTGAGTTCCAACTAACTCTAAACAAATAGTGTTCAGGATGCTGTATGAACCCAATCACTATCTTTTCCTGAATATCCTTCTTTACAAAGTGGCTCTTCTCGGACCCTGAGTTTAGATATAGCTTTGCCTCAGTGTTCCCAGTTCTTTATTGGTTTTGTGAAGCACCTTGCTATAAATGGGGGGAAAAAACCCTTAAGACAGATGCACTTTCTTAGCAGCATCAGGAAGCTGTTGTCTCAAACCCCAAGTGGATCAGTACTTACTCCCAGTAGGGATCAGGTCCCGGTCTGGAATGAAGAGCTTATATCCATACTGTTTCTCCAGAACATCTGGCAAGATTTCAAGGGCAAATTGTTCTTCCTCCCTGTTGTCACAGTCTAATGTGTCGGGATCAACTTTTGTGTAAGACAGATAGGCATCATATTCCTTGTTGTCTGTAAATAAAACCACAAATCTCATGAGGAGAAGGAAGAAAAGATCTCCCCAGTGATTAAAGCAGTTTGCACATGTGCGTGTGCCTGAATGGCTACATTGTCCAGCTACTGTAATTGGTAGTTCAATATGCTGGGTCAAGCAGTGTTTCGTAAGCACTGATATATAGAAGTATCTGGGATGCAGAACCAGTGATACACCTGAGTAGTCTTGGTATATAATTCAACCGCCTGGCTGAAGAAAGGGTTGGGATTCTAGTAATTGGCTGGCAATCTACTGAAGAATCCCAATATCCACTATCCTTGAACTTAATCATGGAAGAAATGTGGATATAAATAAAATTAAGGAATGATAAAATAGAATTTTACCTGCCAAAAGTTCACAAGAACATTAAAAAGCCCTTCCCAATTTTGTTGCTTTGTTTTGGAGGATCAAAGTGACAACACAGAGTTGAAAAATCAGGAGGGAACTGAAACCACCTTTTCTGACAGACGCATTTTATTAAACAGCATCAGCTTTCATGTGCTGCAGGTCACTTCATCAGATGCATGGAGCAGCTCTGAAGACACATCTGAAGAAGTGAACTGTGTCCGTTGGAAAAGGTGCTACCAGATCCCTCCCAGTGTTTTGCTACAATAGATTAACACAGCTCTCCTCCTACGATGTCAACAAAGGGTTGAGTAGCCCTTATAACTGGGTTTTCATTACAAACATAACAAGCAAAACAATATCCCTAAAACACTTCATTATCCCTATTAATGGTATGGATAACCTGGTATATTCAGTCTGAATGCTTAACGTGTACCTTTCAGGTATTAATTTATCACGGCCCATTTTAATACACAGACATCAACTTTTATATCATTTCCTAGAACTGTCAGTCTATTGGGGGAAGAAGAGGTCATGACTGAAGGCTTTCAGAATTATTTTTCAATCTCCTGTGACTTCCAGAAAATGAAAAATCAAACTGCTAATGTAGTGAAGACAAAAGTACAGCCTGCTTATAAAGCCTCAATTTTTGACAGACAGCAAACACTGTGTGCATGTAAGAAACCACTGAAAATGAATTCAAACAATCACTTGTTTTTCGACTCAAGAAAGGCTAAATAGCCAATCGGAATCAGGTTTGTTCTTTCACGCTCTTCAAATTATGGCAATTTCCTTAATTTTCACGAAGGACATCTGGCTGCGAATGATGAGATCTGGGGAAGGTGCAGACATTTATTTTCTCATTGGGAGAACTGACTTTTTTCCACTTCTGAAGACCAAAGTTGCACATATAAGAGCTTACTGGTTCTAGGACATCAATATGAGGACAAAGGTGTGTGATGAATGGGGTAAGGCAGAGTTCCTCACAGTTTAGTTAGCAGAAGAAATTTGGTTTTTTAAGCCCCAGAAAACATCCAAGTCTTTCACCTTCCTGCCTGACAATGGACAACAGGCCGCAGCTAGATGAAAAAAATTCCAAATCAAAGCAAAACGTATTTGGCAGGGGGGACCTTCTGCACTGAATGGTGCCAATCCCAGCCCTGCTGCTTTTCATTCTGTGGAAATAAGGCAATGGAAGTCCTGAATTCCTGCATTTTACCAGAGATGTCAAAATCTGGTAGGCTTTATGATTCTTCTCCAACTCTGGTATTTGCTTAAGCCAAGAAACCCTCCAACCCTCCCATAAAACCTCATTTTTACTGACTCCTCTAGATATTGACAACACACTGTGTTGAAATGAAATGGAGAGCATATACATTTAAGAATTAGTCAGTCAATCAATTCATGTCTGTAGGTGCCTGAGCAATTTCTGGCACCCCCAAATGAAATTTAAAAAGATCCAATAATAAATAATAGTTTTTAAATGGCTGCAATCTTGTGAGACTATCAAAAGCTTGTGAAAATCTTCCTTCTTACTACATTTCAAGGTAGAATCACCAAACTTGCAGCTTTGGGAGTTCTTGTAAGATAGCTGACACTTTTTTTTGTTTTGCCCTGGGGAGGGAATCTAAGCCCCCCCCTCCAAAAACTTTTTGCTTATCTCTGACCTATCCAAGTCTCAGTTTACCAATTGATCTTCAAAAGTCCTTCATCTTCATCTCCCATCTTCCTTTTACTGGGTTGGGCTGCTCTGGCCATAGTAAGAGATGGTAATGAGGAAAGAAATGCAAGGAAATACTTTTTCCAAAAGCATATCATCCTAAAAAAATGCTGTTATTAATTCCTTTTCTTTTTTGCCCAGATCCCCTTTATTTCAGTAAGACTCCTAAAATTCAGTAGACAGTTTTGGATTACGGTTCTCCAAAGCTTGTATGGGGAAGAAAAACTATGGTCCTTCAAATATTGCTCAGCTACAGCATTCCAGCAAGATCTGAAGAGTGACAGGTTTTCTCCAGCTCTGTCTTAATACCGTTTACATCAGTTTCCCTTATTTCAGATTATGCTTTCAGTGGCTGTCATGGATATCGTGGACATTTGATTGCAGCAACATTTATACTAGCTATTTAGAAATCTACTCACCATCCATTGCTTCATCGCCTCCAAACATCTGTCTGTAGCATAGCATCAGCTCTATATTGTAGCACTTATAGATAGTTACAAGTATAACCAGTAAGAGAAATATAGCTCCCAAACCTCCAGCAAGTTCGATTCTGGAGATCAGATCTAGAGTAAGACAAGAATAAGTTAGAAAATGTAATGTAGCAGATCATTACTCAGTGGATCTGGTCTGGGCTCAGAACTTAGGATCAGGCATAGTTGATATTTGGATGAGAGTACTAGGGGATTCCAAGATTGTAGGCCAGGCTGGGAAACTGAAAATAAAATCCTAGAAGAAGACAATGGCCAACTACTCCAGCATGAAGTCCATGGATATATCCACAAAGTTACCAAGAATCAACCTTGACTCAAAGGAAGGTTTACCTGGAAACTCAGAGGGTCTTGTTTTATTTGACTTATAGATTCCTGGCCCAAAGTCCTCCATCAGAAGGAAGTATAATCACATAATATTCAATCAGAATTTCTTCCTGATTTAGCTTTGACTTCAAATACCAGCCAGAAAGCACTTTTTCTGAAAAGTGCTGAAGTTTGAACTTTGGCAAATCCATGGTGGGAGAATCTAACAAATAAATAAATGACACAAATTCCATAATGATGTGATGATGCATGTGATATCCCTTGCCTCTCCATGCCCCCCTTCCTCACTCTTCACTTTACCACATTTCCTTTTTGTGGCAAAGACAGAAAGAAAAAAAGAAATCTGATGGTCGGTGTGTGAGTGGTGGAGGAGCAAAGTGGCTCTCCTTTTGGGTGGTGCAGGATGATGGGAAGAAGCCAAGATACTGCTGTGCCTTTACTTCTGGATGGGGAGTAGGGATCCCAGAGTTGGGGGGCCAAACAAGGCAGAAGTTCAGGGGAGACTGTCTTGTTCTGCAGCTACAGCAGAAATTCCATGCAATTCTTCTTATACTATTTTGTCTGCTTGAAAGCTGAGATGATGAACCTCTGGAGTTAATTAGTCCAACTTCACTGGCCCTGTGGGGAACATGCAAGGGTAATCTTGGATGGACACACCACTTGCACTGAAAGATCCATGGAAAGCCATAGGTTGGATGCTGGAATGTGCAATCCACAAGACTCACCCAGTTGACCCTAAATTCCGCAGACAATCTCAATTTGCATAGTATCTTCCTTACGTTATCTGCCATATTGCATTCCATCAGCTTCCCCCTGCTGCAGTATGGTCTCGTTGTCGCAATGCAGGGCAGCAAAACACAGTGTCAGTCCAGTTGCAGAAGCAAAGGAGCTGCAGTCTCTCCCTCCACCCCACCCCACCCCTTGATCATTTTCACACTCTTTTGAGTTCCTTTGAAGAATCACAAGTAGTAGATGGACCACAGGGAACTGTCATAAAATGTTTTTCAAAACTCCCCAGTTCAGCAGAAAGGGGGATTATGGAAATGTTCTCAACACCATCCCCCCAATTTAGCTCACTTCTTGTTTCCAGCACCCAACTGCTGAAAGTCAGTATGATTCATGATAACCATAACTCAGTGCCAATGGGAGACACTCATTAACAGACTGACATATCATTTGAGACCCAGCATCATAACCAGGGACTCTTAACCTTGCTTTCCAGTTCATCCACCCATTAAAAACCACAAGAAGCCAATCTAATACTATGAGACATCGAGAAGATGTATTAATTTATACTCTATCTCAGCACAGATATTTATTGCCATGATAAATAAGCAATGTGAGAGGCATAAAACTCAGGCACTATCAAGAATAAAAAGGGGAAATATAATGCTTCCCCAAACTTGGATGACATGATGAGTTTATATATCATCAACATCACTTTGAACTTTACAAAGGCAGGCAGCTGTTGAAGTTCACGGGTCAACTTTTCTTCTTGAAAGCCTTTTGGTTCCTGCAATTTATGGCTGGAAATCATTTGCTTCTTTCCTTCCAAATGTCATGGAATAAGGTGTACATTCAGGTCAATAAAAGTGATGTTTGGAAGAACAGTCAAAGATTCAACCCAGTGCCTATTGTCTGACCTAAAGCTTCTTGAGATCCCTGGATGATATCAGACAAGTCATGGTTAACCTATAGGAACTTGTTGCCAGCAGATATAACTGTCACCTCCTGCTCTTTGAAGGTGTATCAGACATCTTTAGTTACAAACTGACCACTTATACAGAATGCGTGTCTCTTTGTCCAACCCATTGGTTCTCTCCAATGGTAGCCTAGAAGCTGACTGGTGTCTCTGCTTCTATAGCAGGGGTAGGCAACTAAGATTTGTAAGCCACCAATACTTTCAATATTTTAGAATACAGAATAGGCACTGTGTTGAGCATCTAATGTTTAGGATGCATGAGGTAGTTCCACTCTCCCCCACACCACCTGTCTTCCATGAAGCAAACACAAATTCTCCACCATAAGTGTTAAGGGGTCCCTCATGTCATCTTTCCTTTCAAGCCTCAAGATCTAGTTGGTCAGGAGCACAAAGCATAAAGCCGGCTCTGTTCTTGAACCGAACAACAAACAATTCTTCTTCTAAGATGTTCTTTTTATTAATCCTCTGTTGATTTTAGTTACACTGTCTTTTTTTTTACTTTCTCTCCTTTCTGCATTAGAGGAAAGGTGTCCTTAAGAGGCTAGCTATACATCACATGTGAGTTGGAACTGTGCAAAAAAGCAAAAAGAATGCAGATTGGAGAAGGGTTTACGAGGGAAAGAGTTAAATATCCCTTTGCACCCTACCATAGCTTCTCCATTGTAAATTTTCCCCTCATAAATTGCTTTTCATGCAACTCCTGGGCTCAGTCCAGGACATGTGTTTGCATGCTAACATGCACTTAATTCCAAGCACTCTTTTTTCTTTCTTATCTACCGACAGTCAACCCAATTTCCTTGTATGGATTGAAGAAAAACGAAGATGCTAACAACACTGTGATTTTGCACTCAGCGTGTTCTCTGTGAAAGAAAGCATGTTCGGACAGCATGGAAGTAGAGGAGAAATCATTTTTATAAATTGACCAGGCCAGTAAAAACAAAAACAAAAACAAAAACCTCAAAAAAGCCTGTGAAAGATACTAAGAAGAAAATCTATGGTGGGAAGGACATATCCAACCATTTGGTTTAATATAAAGGAAGAATTTGGAAGCAAGGGGACCATCTCCATGGTTCTTCAACGATCCGGTTTGTCATTGTTTAACTGTCGCTTGCAAAATAAACCCTAATTGGTTGAGGGCAAACAACAGGCTAAGTCATCCAACCATTATGCCAAAACAAACAAACAAACTACCTTATGGGTTAGGGTAATGTGTGAACTCAGAACTAGCATAGCAAAGAAGGATGAAAATGCTCCTGTTCTGAGTAAGCCTTCTGATAGCAAGGAAGCAACTGTTTGGTTCAGCTAGTCAGCACTGATCAATCTTACTGAGTAATGCCACCGAAGAGCTCCCAATCTTTTCAAAATGCATGCGTGGATGGGTGGGCCGTTTCGAAACAGATGCATAGGGTAGCTTTCAAGATACACAGTGCAACCCGGACCAGCCACATCAGCATTTTTAAGCATCAGCAAAACCAGGTTGTTGCTCAAAATAAGTATTTTCAGAAGCTCAGCAACAGCCATACGATCCAGTGTACTGGCTTTTAGTCTGAGCCTATTCCACTGAGAGGAAAAGCATGATGTGTCTCGCAGAGACCCAGCCTTTGTCGTTAGATTCTATTAATTGAAATATGTGGAAATTCTGCTTGTGGAGGATATTGGAGTTGAAAATCATGAAAGAGGAGATTTAAGGTGAGCCTATATTCCTGGGTGTTGTAGGGGTGCGCAACTTCTATTGGCTTGACCCCTGGCACCAGAATGTATATGGCTTGTGGAAATAGGTGGAGGATTTCGGTATTTTAAGGAGTTAACCAAGGAGTGCCTTAGGTATATGTAAGACTTCAGGCACCCACTTTGCCCTTTCATTTCCCACCGCCCAATCCCAAAAATAGAAAAAAACAGGAGTCCACATTTTTGCCTTTACCCCTTCATGGGTTTCCAGAAGAATCTTAGTCACCATTTTCATGCCTTGCTTAAAGATTTCTTACATTACCCTCAACCACCTTTGCAAATGAACAGTGATGATAGGAACTGTAGTCCCAAATTCTTGAAAACTGGGTGGAGAACACCAGGAAGAATAACTAAACCCCAGGGACTTCACTACATATCATTTCTTAGCCCATTCAATTCTGGAAGGAATATAATACATATATTTGCAGGATGGGAAAAATAACCCCCTTCATTTCTTCTGAATGCACAGCTGCGCTGACATAGATGAGAATGAAAAAAAAGAATACCTCGCTTCCGCAGAATGATGCTCGCCTGTTTCTTCCCATTTCTGTTTTCAACGTGGCATGTGTAATTGGCTAGGTCTGCTTCTTTCACAATGTCAAAGATTAATGTTAACTCCACAATTTTTTCTCCAAGGTGCTCTTTGAGGAGCCTAAAAGGAAAAAGAAAAATATTGGGTGGTTTGTCAGGCGTAAGGAGTCCAAAGATAGATGGGATCCCTTCCCAAAGACTCAGTAGCCTCTGGGGATTTCATTCTAACAACTTTCCACAACCTGATGCTCCAGTCATCCCATTTAGCAGATATCAAATTGGGAAAAGGTTGCATTACAAACAAAGGAGTCCATAGGATCCAACACTTCCATCAAAATGGTGAGAGCAGCTGAGTTGTAAGCTCCGCCCCTTTTATGGGGGAGGTGTGACATCCCAGGGCATGTATGAAAGGAGTGGAACTTGTGTCACCCCAGCAGTGTGGTGTTTTTATCCTCTGACCCCATCAATTAGGAGACAATTGCAAAAACATTTCTTTTTATTAGCTTTTAGTGGGAGAAGTAAAGTAGGAGCTTAAGTGGACTATAACTCAGTGATAAGACATCTGCTTTACAGACAGAAGAGTCTCTGTTCAGCAACATATGAAGTCAAAAATCATAGTTTATTAAACACAAGGTCTGTTTCTACCAAGACCTAATCAACCATATAATGGCTTAGCAGAAGATATGAACCCACCTAATATGTATGACATGTGTAAGAGAGAAACACAGCCATTAAACCCCTTTCTTTGGTTCCCACCCATTGTAATGGACAGAGGGAATAACCTTGAGGAACAGGAGGAAGAGCCGCAACCAAGACAACGGTCAGATAAAAGAAATTTGAGTCCAGGGCAGAAATGTAATTTGAGAAATTTGACCCTCCCTAGTGCTCATGAAGATAAATGGTGGGAAGGAGAAGCATATTCAGACTTGCAAGATTCTGTTACTGTAACCTTACAATAAAAGAAGTATTAGCACTGATAACTCTGGTTTCCTAGTCTGGTCTATCTTGAAGGGCTGATACCCATACAGCAAAACACAGATAATGAGATCTGGATTCAGATGTAATTAGCAACAACAGTGCATTAGGTTAGAATCTACTTTAAACTTTCAACTGTTAGGTCAACCTCTCCCTCTCTAAGTCAGGCAGAGATTTTTGTATACCTTGTTTGGCTTTTAACCATAAGCCTCACTGTTTCTAACACGTCAGCTAACATAAGTGACGAGTGTTTGTTTGTTTTTTTGGGTACTTCTTCCTGTAATTCCTCACACCCTTTGGAGACTTCAAGGACCTCTAATTAACTTGGGTGAGTTAGAGTAGTAAGAGGTCAAACTGGCGAAAACAATAGGTTTAATTTAAACTGCCTCCACTTTCACCCTTAACACACCTAATCCAAATCAAGTTTCTATCTTAAAAATAATAAATAGACAGCAGGGTCTGTAGAAAAGTGGAGTGTGTGTATATTTGTGCAGTGGGCATGGCAATCTTAATAGAACGGGCAGCCCTTTGGATAGATTTGTACACTGTTTTATAAACTTGGCAGGAAAAATTTGCAGATGAGAGAGTGATTTAGGCAGGGTAGACTCCAAACAAGAACCTCAAGTTACAGCATTACAATACATTGCAGATTCTTTTCGCCAGTAGAGTGCAGACACAATTCATAACCCTCCGGCCAGAACGAAAGACTCTTTATTATCTGTGTGTGTTTAAGAAAGTCAAATCAATCTATACCATGTTTTCATTGCCAATCTTAAAAACCCACCTGGAAAGAATGTTTAATTTAGCAGATCATCCAGAGTCCTAACCATGATGGGGAGACCACATCAAAAGGACCCTCTGTTAAACCTCCACTCTTTAACAACCACCACCCAAAAGCTTTCCATGTATGCATGAAAAAAGAAGGCACCGCTTAGAGGTAACTTTAATCCTGGAAACCGAATTTCTAAGAGGTTGCACTCAGCAAGCCCTCCAGGCTCATTTTAGAACATTGTTTAAGATGTTCAAAATCGAAAATAAATCTATATACATGGAATGCTGGTGCATCCTGAAGGAAATGGCCATCTTCTACAGCCACCGTTAGTTCCCTCTGTCGCTCCCACTGCCCACATCAGGTGAGTTCTACAACCGCTCAGGCCATGGCAGTAAAGAGCTCACAACGATTCTTATCAAATGAAAGACATTCATCACCCACTGTAATGGTATGGGATAACAGTACTTTGAGAGAAGTACTTTGAGACTTGAAAGATTGTTGTCAGCCCTTTGAAGTAGCCCAGACAGGAAACACCAACCATGAGTGCTAACACACCCTTAATTGTAAGGTTACAGTGACAGAACCTTGCAAGCCTGAAAGCACTTCTCCCCTCCTTTACTTTTACTTTCCAGAAAACTAAGGAGGGTCCCTTCTGAGAGGCTTCCCACACCCCCTTTCCTTCTGTGGGCTGAGATACCTTTTATGTGACAGTTGCCTAAGCTGCGGCTCTTCCTCCTGTCTCCCAAGGTCATTCCCACATACCATTAAACCATTGAGCATTCTCAGGTACCCTCTAAATAGCACCCCTGATAGAATTTGTCTTCTTGTCCTGGGGACACCATTGCTAAAGAAGATGATGCCCGAGAGTTCAGAGGTCATAGATGTTTCATTTCTCTCCCAGGAAGCAATCCATATTTTGGACAAGGATAGCCAAAATTCAAGACTGTTACCCAAGAATTGCATCAGATTTGGGTACTTTGAATTTAGTTTTGGTCTAAATGCTAAACAAGTCCTTAAAATCTTTAAGTGAGAAGACAGACAGAGATTGGCAGCAGCAAAGTGACTCTTCCTATTAATTGGAAAAGCTAGATTTCCCCCCAAATAATTAAATTCTAAAATAAAAGGGTTGCATTGAGTTCACTGAGAATATAGAGACTGACAAGGATTTTTTTAAAAACCAAACTTTCCTCTTTGGATGGTAAATAAATATCTTCCTCTTTTAGTTAAATAAATATAATTTGGAAACACAAATAGGTTCTGCCTATGTACATGTTTTGCAAAAACTACAAGGATGAACAGTTCAAATGGACACTGGAAGCAAACCAGCTTCCAAACAAGGAAATAATTTGCATCTCAGAATAACGGGCCTGCAAAGTTCACCTTCTGGAAATAGAATGGATTTTTTTCCTTTGTTTTCTACATTACAAGGGAGGGGTGAAAATACAAGCAATATAGTTATGTACCTGATTTCACCTTCTTTAATATGATTTTCGAGTTCTTCAATAAATTTCTCTCCTCGTGTCCAGTAGATCATGGGGCCTGATTCACCGCTGAAGCCAAAAAATGCTTTGCAGGCAACGTTGAGTGGCTGACCTGGAAAGCAACACGAGAGGAAAATGACAGTGATGGTTTGTGGCAAGAGAACATAACAGCAGACAGTTTGCTTCTTAAAATTTATAGTTTGGATTTATTTTTCACTAAGAGATAGCCCTGAAGGACTGTCTTGAGTGGATTGGGAATAACCAGAGTGACTCGCTGCAAATGAATTTGTTATGTGAAAATATTGGGACACACATCCCAATTGAATAGGTTTTGGTCTCTTGAAGTGCAACTGGGCAAGCCTTGACTAATAAGAAATCTTCAAGGCTTTGGCTAGAAGCTTCTCCCAGCCCTGATCTGGGTGCCCAGAATTAATCTGCACGTGGGAATCCATATAGACCTATGCACACCTATGCTTGCGACCAGTATGGATCTCTTTCACTTTCATGCTTCTTCTGATGCCAAGAATGATCACAACTGTGATTCTGAACTTCTATTTCCAGGGGGGTGTAAGAAGGCACTGGCAAGAAGCTGTGAAAGAGAGGTGGATCAAACCTAATTCTCCAGGTTTCCATCAAGGAATAATGTTCATCTGAGGATTTTAATTTTTGCTCTCCTTTTTTTAAAGGATCAAACTCTTGCATGCAATTCCATAAATACTATAGCACAATGTCGCTCAGGATCTTTCTAGGCAAAGCTGAAACTCCCAAAGCTGCAAGAATTGCTCAAATCTTTGCGGGGTAGTTCCAAATCCTTACTAAAAGTTACTGCAGGATTATGATTTTTAATGTGATAGAATGGGAGCTTCATTAAGTCAAGATGGTAGTTGTGACTGTAGGATCAAAGCCTTGCCCCTTTTTAATAAGCCTGCAATGCATCACACTCCTGGTGCAGTCTCCAGCACATCATTAAAAGCCAAATACTGTTGCAAAACTCTAATACAAGATATATGTGGGAAAAGGCTATTTTAGGAAGACTTTTTTGAAAATTGCAATCCTTTGGCTACTTCCATGGGAATAAATTTACCTTATGGAATCGAACATTCCATGTTTCTATAAAGATCTGTGCACACACCTAAACATACAGCAATTCGTCTGACTTTAATGGGAAAAGGCACTTACCACAATGTGAGAAAGAGTTTTTAAAACTTATTTAAAGAGTTTTGGTCAATCAGAACTAACAGCATCTGCCCTTTACGTGGCCCGCCCTGCTGCGCTGTAAGTACTGGTTGAACAGCTGGGGCTACATGTTTTCTATTCAGTGACCCAGCAAGATTTCTTTTTGAAACTACAGAAATAAATGAGAGGAAATGAAAAATACTCCAGAGAGACATCTAATTTCTATAAATGCTAAGCAAATTTCCTGAAGAGATTCACATGGTTAGAAGAAATAACAAACAGAGAGATACAGAGATATAGTATCAATAAAATAACAAAGTGAAAAACCAAAGCACTGTGGGCATACTTCTGTCTGTACATTAGGAAGATAAACTTGCACCATGGAGCTCAAATTCCCTTCCTTAAACTGTTATTAGAAGCTGAATTTAAGAGGAAAGTGATCTCATCCTATCCATACTTATTCATTGGTAAGCACTGCTGATTTTAAATGAGCTTACTTCTGAGCAAACCTGGCTGAAAACATGCCATCTCCTGATTGATGATGCTTGTGTAAGGCATAATTTTGGAGTTGGGGTTGGTACGGGAGGAGGAAGAAGCTTGGATTCAAGGTCACTTTTCTTTTTGGGCCAATGATATATTTGGAATGTTGAAACCCTGATGAAATGCCCACCATAATGGGACAATTTGTCCATTCCCAGAATGACAGCCACAGTGGATGTGACCAGCCAGAAAACATCCATGATCGTACCCCCAATATTTCTCTACCCCCATGCTTTGGAGAAAACATGCTTTGGTAGCCAGGAGCGACTGGTCTTTGAATAAATCCTATTCCTACTGCAGAAACTGAATAATCTTTCCAAGTCTCTGAAAGTGCAAATTTGAAGGGACAACCAAAACTGAAGAAGTGCATTTATTAAAGGACAAATTAAAGGACTGAAAATGAAAATGGCACTATATTCTAAGAGAGCTCCTGATTCTCAAAGTCTCTAAACAAGGTCAGTTCATCAACTGCAGATTCTTAGTTACTATTTTCAATATTTTGACATGCTTGGTAATTAATTTTCCTCGGCCAGACCAAAGCTGGGGAGCCACATCACATCTGTCCCAAATTTCCATGCAGCAGTGTGCAAAAAGGAAGTGGACTTCTCGTTGTTTGTACGAAAAAGTAAGCTTGCTCCTGTAGGGTAAAGACACTCCCAAGTCAAGCTTGACACCCATTGACTGCATGGACAGACCCATGCATCTGGGCAGGAGTGCCACAGTGGTCTGGAACTGCCTTTTTCACGATGTTTTTTCAACTTCCCCTCCTCACCTGGAATTTTCTGGTGATCTGCCATCCAAGTACTAACAGATTCAATCCTGTTTAGCTTCTGAATCCAGTCAAGGCTGCTTGCTACCTGCTGAAACTCATTCCCGTAGGGTTACTCCGACAGATAATGATGTGACAGAGAAAACAGGTTCTAAAGCAGGAAACCCCAATGTTACCAGCTACCTCTCATTGCCATGTCTATTTCTGCAACAGATGGGAATATCACGGCCATCCCTGTCATCCATTCCAATACTTCAGACGGACGACGTGGATGTCAATGACATTCCCATCCGTTGCAGAATGCCTTAGCGTTAGGATGAGAGGGGGCGGATATGCTTCTGGCTACTCAAGCATGGAAGGAAGAGGACTTCCTAGAAGAGTAATTTTATTTAGTATCCAGCCAAGAGGAAGAAAAAGTCAAACACATACATGACACACCGTTGTTTCAAAGTGGGTTCCATCAGGGACAGTTTGAAAACTGAAAACGCTGCTTCTCCAAAGGTTCTCCATCCAGGCTTTTGGGATGTCAAGCCGTCCAAGGTTTCTGATGCAGCTTAATTGCATTTTGTATTAGAGAAAAATCTTCCAGCACTCTAGTTTTTAATTACTTTTCTTTCAATCTCTTGTCCCTCTCCTGGTTTGTCTAATTAAGCATCAGAGGCCTATGGTTAAACAAGTCCTCTGCTAAACAGGATCCTCTCAATTTATAAAGCAGGGGCAGATATTTAACACCAGAGGGTGCCCTTGCAATCTGAGAACAAAGTGGACTTCGATTTTTTTAGTCCAAAGTGCTGAGCCAAAGTCTATTCCTATGGATTGCATCTTTACTCAGTGACTTCAGAGCTGAATGCCAGAGTTAACTGTTAATTAGAGACTGAGACATGGTGGTCGTTTTGTGTGTGTTGGGGGGAAGCACGCTATGCAAATTCTCAAATCTACACAAACAACCCACTTATTTAGCCCAGTCTTATCTGGAATTGAAGCAACTGCCCCGGTCAACTGACCCCACTTCCACCCCGTGTCTGTTTATTGGCTGAGTTCACATATTCTCGGATCCGTCTTCTAGATTTGTACAATGCTGAGAAACAGGGTAAGTTCACCACAACTTAACCGTACGGCTCCCAAAGTTGTTCTGAGTCGGGCAGCTTATAAATGTGATTTATATATAAATCACCCTACTCATGAGGCCACCACAGATTAGGCAACATTAACATTAGCCAAACTTAGTGTGTTGTACGAATATAGCTCCTAGAGCTTTTAAATAGCCTTATTAAACATGTGTGTGAATGTATAAAGGAATGTAGACCCAAACTTGGGGATAAGGGAGGAATGAGCAAGCTGCTAAGGGGGACTTAACAAGAGATTATAAGTCCTAAGAAAGAGGGACATTGAGAAACAATCTCAAAGGAACCCTTCCTTGATTTTGTTTTGTCATAAGATGGGGCAGAAAGAAACTTTGAGAGGCTTTCAAGATTCTATTATTCTAGCAAGTTATTCTTGCTACAATAAACAGCATTCCTGAAATCTCTGCCATGGCAGTTTTTTTGACCTGGCCTACCTTGAAGGGCTGGCAGAATGGGGCCACTGGTGAGTCAGCTGACTCTCCTCGTTCCTAAGACTGGCATCTCTAGGAATTCCTGTCTCCATCTTCTCAGTAGTTTTCTTCCTCAGTGAAATTACATGGGGTGGGGGGCAGAAAGGGGCAGGTGGGGTTGGTGAGCCTCCTGGGTCTGTCTATGGAGGTGGCTGACCACAATCTGCACGTTGACCACGTTCACATGACACATTAAGGCAGATACTGGTTTGCTTGAGACACTGTGTCATGTCAATCAGCCAACGACAGTTTAAGCACCCATGGGTTGGGATATCATGCGAACACTGCCGTGGAGTGGCAGGTGGGGTTGGGCTTGCAATTTGCTTCTGGTTCCCATCGATGAGGTTCACATCGAAAGAATGACTGCAGATGGCTTATGTAATACCCACTGCTAAAAGCAAAATATCTTCTGAGATAGCGCCAGCAGCTTCCATGTTTTAATAGCTGCGACAAAAATAATCTGTTTAACTTGCCACCCAATTAATTGGATGGCACCTGTTAATCAAGCAAACGTTCCCCCCCCCCATTGATT